TCTGGCATGATGCTCTTTAAATTATTTTCAAATTATAATGACCAAATCAAATATGGCCATCATTGCCAAATATAATAAAACATATAATGAAATCTTTAAGAGATTTCTTCTCAAGTACCACTCATAATAATTTGATGAGATTTTATTGAAAGGTTCCTAGTATGAATTTTTAAGAATGATTATCTACTATCAAATATGGCTACAATTACTAAATTTAGAAGAACCAATTAGTAAAATTGTTGAATAGATCTGAAATAAAGCATTGCGGTATGAAACTCCTTAAAATCCATTCCAGCTTGATGGTGATTTACTCTCAGTATGGCTATGGTTACTATACACTTAAACCGTTCCGGTGGACTAGTGGTTTGAGTGTCCACCTCAGATGCAGTAGGTTCTGGGTTTTGAACCCCAGCTGAATCATACCAAAGACTCATAAAAATGGTACCAACAGCTGCTTCACTAGTCACTCAGCATTAAGAAGTTAGAGTTAGGACTAGTCAGCCTGGTGTCAGGATATTGTGACTAGGTGGGACATCATGTTACATGTCTGAGGCATGATGCCCCAGTGCTAGACATCATACACTGCAGATATCATAGCGATATAACTGAAGAATTGTTAAAGCTACTTTAAAAATAATACACACACACACACACACACACACACACACTATACTGTAAATAGCAAACCTTTCAATAACTTCCAAGCAAGAACTGCTAAACAGAATTTGATCAAATTTGAAGGCAGACATCCTGGTATGAGACACATCATTTTTTTTTAATTATGCCAATTTCCCATCAAATATAGCCAACATTATTAAATATAAGACCTCTTTATGAACTGCTGAACATTCCTTGGATGAAGGTCTTTCAAGGTGTTTAAATGATAGCTATCTGTCATCAAATAGAAATCCTTGAAATGACATCTTAGAAACAAAATAATTTAATTTGACCAAAGTTAACAGAAGAGAGTGATAGAAGGCTCACCAAGTCTCCTTGTTTAAGTTTGTGATGGGCGATCCATTGTCCAAAAAATGCTTAGCTTTTATTAAAATATGTATTTGAATTAATTAACTGGCAAGGGTTTAACTAGAACCCTGAATTTACTCTGGTTCCATCACTGGATAAGATCTGCACTCACAATAAGAGACCCGAGTTTACACTATTATAATGACACATAGATTAGTAAATATAGTAGTTATTGTTTAGTACAATGTTATTGGGAAAAAAGTGAGCTGAAACAGCTATTTATTTTTGTATAAAGAAATGCTATCAAGGTGTTTTTTTATTGTCTCATCCACAGAAGCATAATAATGTAAAATATATAACTCTTATGTAGACAGTTTGTAAAAGTGTTGTTTTGAGTTTGTTTCTTTAGGTTTTATGTTTGCTTTTTTGTTTGGGAGAAGACAGATAGATAATTGTATAGACACAGATGAGCTTAAGTGAAACACAGTTGAGACAAGATAATTGTAAATACAGAGATGAAACACAAACGAAGTACAAAGGAGAAAGGAGTGGTGTATAATTTTCACAGGACTTCCAAAGTCTCAGTCTCATTCTATTTATATATATATATATATATATATATATATATATATATATATATATATATATATATATATATATATATATATATATATATAGATATAGATATATATATATACAATTTTACAATTTTGTTTTTAGGAACCTTGGCAGCAATGTCATAAGCAAGATTGATGAAGAAATAATCAGCTCTGAGTCATATGTCCAAAGCTTGGTGCTTTCATCTAACCAGATCACATCATTAGGGGACAATGTGTTCTCCAATACAACTATTGAGAGCATAAATTTACAGCATAACCAACTCAATACATATCCAGTTGCCCTTACAAGGAGCTCTGCTAGTTCAATGTAAGTGATGTTCCGACAGATTGTAGGCATAAGTTTAATCTGCTGTGCTGAAATCCTACAGACTTTGTACCATAAATCTTAACATTTTTGCATTAGATCAATTTTAAGTCTCTTGATAGAACAAAACTACATGTCTGGTCAATAAAATGACCAATAAATCTCAACAGTTCTTTAATAGACATTAAACCATTATGTTTCTGTCAGCATTAATATGCACTTTTATATATAGACTGATTAGCCATTTTGCCACTGTTAACTGTTAAAAATTTAATGATGAATCTCATCAAATCATGCATTATATAGAAATCACTGCCATGTAATTCAGACTTTTAAATGAGAAATTTGCAGCTGCATAGAAATAAGAAACTGCAAAAACTCCAAAGTAAAATTTGGTTTTAATTCTAAAAAATTGGAAATATAGAAATTAATAACAACTTAATTAGATAAAATCAGCAAAAATGAATCTGAGAAACATTATCCTTATTTCCAGTATGATACAACAAACTAATAATGACAAACCAGTAATGACAAACCATATAAAACCAATAATGATGAACCAATAATGACAAACCAGTAATGACAAACCAATTATGACAAACCAGTAATGGCAAACCAGTAATGACAAACTAACAATGACAAACCAGTAATTGCAAACCAGTAATGACAAACCAATAATGACAAACCAGTAATGGCAAACCAGTAATGACAAACTAATAATGACAAACCAATAATGACAAACCAATAATGATGAACCAATAATGACCAACTAATAATGACAAACCAAAAATGATGATGAACCAGTATGTGCTCTTCAAAAAGAGCTTCTAATACCTTAACATAAGGATACTATTGTCTTTATTGGTATAAAAGCAATATTTGAAAGTATTATGAAACTTTATTTAAGGTATTTGTGAGGCATGTTTTCAATGTTTATCTGCATGAAAGATGTTAATAATTTTATTATTCAGGGAAAATCACAAACATTAATTATAGTTATGAATACTAGTATATTTTAATTCCAAATTCAGAGATCATTGGGTAAAATAGATTTAAAGAGAAATTGAACTGGTAATTTTCAGTGTCACATTTCACTGAGATTATATATATATATATATATATATATATATATATATATATATATATATATATATATATATATATATATATATATATATATATATATATATATATATATATATATATATAGATGCAATAAGCTGACAACGAACAGTACGAAACTAGTAACTAACTAGCCGAAGCGCTTTCGACTCTTAATGAGTCTTTTTCAAAGGCAAATACAAAACATAGTTACTACAAACAAATAAACACAAAAACGTTGTGTTTGTAAACCTCTACATTTCTGTCTTCACATGTGCTAAAACTATAAATACAACCAGCTTGTATAGACTAGTTGCGGAAACTGAAAATGTATAATTCCCTAAAAGTCTACAAGCCAAAGCGACATCTATTTTTACTTTGTGTACATATGTAACGCAGATTATATCCCGGATATTTGATTCTATACCGGTTATTCTTATAGTAAAAATTGAAGGATAATAAGAAGATTTAGAAAATGTTAAATTCTACTAGTGCATAGTTTTCATTTTCTAGTCTTCTTGGTTTAGACCGCTTGGTTTCAATGTTCTAAGGCGGCGTATCCAGTATGATTCCTTTTCCTTCCTGGTTTCGGAACTCCAGCTGTGGTTGTTAACAATAGCGATAAGTATTATATCACTGAAAGTGTGGCCAGGGGAGGAGAAGTGTTCTGCGACCGGGCTTCTGTACAGCTTTTTTGTCATCCAATCAGATCTATGAAGGTTTATCCTTTTGTGTAGCTTTTCAGTTTCTCCCACGTACTGAAGGCCACAGATCTTACATGTGATGAGATAAATCACATTCTCTGTTTTGCACGTTTTGTTTGGACCATGTATGTTTAGTTTTTCTTTAGTCACTAGCACATTCACATTCACTAGCACAGTGACTAAAGAAAAACTAACTAGCAAATTGTTCAAGTTATCATGTATGTAAGTTTTTAGATACAGTGGTTACAGTAACCTGTTTTATGTGTGGCATCAGCTTCATCAATCCTTTCAAATATACCAAATTTCTAGCATTACTTTTTGGTATAGCTATTACTTTAAAATCAAAGTTAAAAAGAAATTTGCAGCAAATATTTGAAAATTTTTCAGTACACAGTAGAGATTCATAACACTGATAAAAATCTTCAAAGCTATAGAGATTTATAGCATATTAGCATATTGATAAACTGCCAACATACATGGTTAGACAAATTGTCTATACTGTCAAAAACTGCTAGGTTACCTACTTGGTTAAGCAACATTGTGTCTACCTAACTGCTTGGTTGCCTACTTGGATAGACAAAGTTGTATCTGACTGACAAACTGCTTGGCTGCCTAGTTGGTTAGACAAAGTTGTGTCTGACTGCCAAACTGCTTGGTTGCCTGCTTGGTTAAGCAAAGTTATGTCTGACCATCAAACAGCTTGGATGCCAACTTGGTTAGGCAAAGTTGTGTCTGACTATTAAACTGCTTGGTTGCCTACTTGGCTGGCAAAGTTGTGTCTGACTATTAAACTGCTTGGTTACCTTCTTGGTTAGATAAAGATACCTTGCAAACTGCATGGTTACCTGCATGGTTAGACAAAGTTGTCTATCAAACTGCTTGGTTGCCTGCATGGTTAGACAAAGTTGTGTCTTACTATCAAACTGCTTGGTTACCTGTATGGTTAGACAAAATTGTGTCTGACTGTCAAACTGCTCAGTTACCTACTTGGTGTGATAAATTTGTGTCTAACTATCAAACTACTTAGTTATGCATAGTTGTGTCTGATTGTCAAACTGCTGGTTGCCTACTTGGTTAAACAAAGTTGTATCTTGCAAACTGCTTGGTTACCTGCATGGTTAGACAAAGTTTTGTCTGATTATCAAACTGCTTGGTTGCCTGCATGGTTAGGCAAAGTTGTGTCTGACTGTCAAACTGCTTGGGTACCTACATGGTTTGACAAAAGTTTTGTCTGACTGCTAAACTGATTGGTTGCCTACTTGGTTTGACAAAGATGTGTCTATCAAACTACTTGGTTGCCTACTTGGTTTGACAAAATGGCTTAGGGATTAGAGCATCTGTCTCAGATGCAGAAGTTTGTGGGTTTGATTCCCGGTCAAGTTATACCAAAGACTTACAAAAATGGTACTAACAGCTGCCTCGCTTGATGCTCAGCATTTTGAGAGGTATGTGTTAGGACCGGTCGGCCTGTTGTCAGGATAATGTGACTGGGTGGGACATCATGCTACATGTCTGTGGCATGATGTCCCAGTGCTAGAAATCACTATAAACTCCCACACTGCAGACATTGTAGAGATATGACTGAAAAATTGTTAAATCTACATTAAAATTCATAATCACATCTCATCACATCAAACTGCTTGCTTACCTTCTCAGTTAGAAAAAAATTGTATCTTGCAAACTGCTTTGTTTCCTGCATGGTTAGACATATTGTGTATGACTCAAACTGCTTGGTTGTCTACTTGGTTTGACAAAGTAGTGTCTGACTGCTAAAGTGCTTGGTTGCCTACTTGGTTAGACAAAATTGTGTCTGACTGTCAAATTGCTTGGTTGCCTACTTGGTTTGACAAAGATTATCTAGCAAATTGCTTGGTTGCCTATGTGGTTAGACAAAGTTGTGTCTATCAAACTGCTTGGCTACATGCATGGTTAGACAAAGTTGAATCTTTTAAAAAGTGCTTGGTTGCCTACTTGGTTTGACAAAGATGTGTCTAGCAAACTGCTTGGTTGCTTGGTTAGACAGAGATGTGTCTAGCAAACTACTTGTTTACCTTCTTGATTAGACAAAGTTTTGACTGACTTTGAATTTATGCTTGTTAAAATGCAGTCAGGTTAACATTTAATCTTGGTCAGTTGTCTTTTTAAACATTTGTCAGGCAATATTGACGGATATATGTCAAACCTTTGTCAGGCAATATTGACTGATATATGTCAAACCTTTGTCAGGCAATATTGACTGATATATGTCTAACCATTGTCAGGCAGTATTAACTAATATATGTCAAGCCTTTGTCAGACAATATTGACTGATATATGTCAAACTTTTGTCAGGCAATATTGACTGATATATGTCAAACCAGCAAAGATGGTATTTTGGCTGTATGGAATTAGACCAATAAGATAAAGGAATCATTTTGTCAACCTGGGAAAAATGATGATACTTGTATAGGAATGATAGTAAGAATGTGATGCTTTTAGATCCAGTGTTTAGTAACTCCTTGCAGTTAACAAGACAAAACCTCATGCTATGCCTTATCATAGTTCATCTTTTTCAGAAATAAATTTTGTCTTGCTTGCCACTTTTAAATAAGAAAATGTTCTATTTTTCATCATTGTATTATTCAGATATGATTAAATAACTGATTTATGTACATTTTTATATAGAAGCATAAAAATGTACCTATGTATCCATATATGGTTACTTTTTTTAAAAAAATGTCTCCATCATAGATTTTCCCTTTGAATGCAAGAAAGGATACCACTACACTAATCCTATTTACTTTATCTTTGTACATTGTAATGAAATTCAGTGAATTAGATTTTAGGTTCAGATGTATCAAGCCTCAAACATATGTTCAAAACTTACATATACAAAACATATCAAGTTAGCTTTGTTTGTCTTCTATTTACAGTATTGCCTGTCTGTAATGACCAGCCTTTTTGCCCCCAAAAGTCATTGCTCAAGATAGCTCTTTCATTTCAGGTGAAAACATATAATGGATAACTGGTAATCAGTGCACTGAGAATGTGGTTTCAAGATAGATGGTCTTTTAGGCAGTGGTCTTACAAAACAGGTGGTCTTTCTGGCAGTGGTCATTCAAGACAGGTAGTCACACAATATAAGTGGTTTCCAGGCAGGGCAGTAGTCATGCAAGAAATGTGGCCTTTTAGGCAGCAGTCATACATGACAGATGGTCTTTCAGGCAGTGGTAATACAAGACAGGTGATCTTTCAGACAGTGGTCATGCAAGACAGTTGGTCTTTCAGACAGTACTCATACAAGACAGGTGGTCTTTCAGACAATGGTCATGCAAGACAGTTGGTCTTTCAGACAGTACTCATACAAGACAGGTTTTCTTTCAGACAGTGGTCATACAAGAGAGGTGATCTTTCAAATGGTGCTCATTCAGAAGAGGTGGTTTTTAAGGCAGTGGTCATACAAGACACGTTTTGGTGTAGTTGCAATTAAATGAAATGACTAAAATATTTAGTGCAATTGACGTATCTGGAACCTCCCTGAATCACACCATTGTTATCCTACACAAAAGCTGGATGCTGAACTTGGTAAACATTTTATTTCTTTTAGGTTTTCTATTAGCAAATCTCCCAGAAAAATCAGAGAAAAACTAATACATTTTCTTGGTGATTTCATTATGATGCACTAACAGTTGATTAGCTCATTTTGTACTTTGATACCTTGAATCCTGGGACATTGTAACAGGAAGAGACATTTTTTTATTTCTTTTCAGAAATGTTGGAGAGAATAAGATAACTTTCCTTGTGTCCTCTATGTTTGAAAAGAGAAACAGTCTACACCTTGAGAAATTGTATATGACAAATATACCAGTCAAAGTCATCAACAACGGAACCTTCACATATCTAAAGAACCTAACTGTACTGTACGTATATCCAGTATCATACAGTACCTCCTTCGAAATTTAGGCAGTGTAAAGATTTCTCATGTCCACTTTTCCTGCATACATTCATGGCATCTGTCATTCATGCATATGTACATCATGAGTTACTTCTTGACCTGTAAGGGACAGAACTCTGTTATTTCAGTGCATGTTTATACACCCTGGTCTTGTCTAAGGAGAAATGCTGTAAAATACTAACTCATGCTACAGATGTGGGTTAAATTGTGAGAAATCCATATTTGTTTATAAGACAAGTCCACTGCAGATTCCACATACTCAGATGTGGTGTCAATTAATGTGCCAGCATATCTGGGTCAGCACAGTTTGTTAGTTGTAATCAGTAGAACAAACATCATAGACCCTCATCTGCAGATGCATTGTGCCTAGGCAAATCAAGATCTTTGTTGTTTGCATTTTAACTAGTCTTAGTGAGTATATATGGTATTTGCATATGAACAGCACAGTACAATATTTGCATAGAATATATAGTAGTATCAGAGAAGTGTAAGTCAAGATTTTTTTAAAAAATTTTATTCTAATTTCATGCTAATAAAGGTCACAGAATGTCAAAATGTTCAGACTTTGAGCATATGACCTTGAGTTTTTGTGACCTTATTGTCTTGTGTTGACCATTCTGGTAACCATAGTGGTTAGAACATCGATTTTGGATGTGGGAGGTTGCAGATTTGAACCCTGAGTCATATCAAAGACTTATAATATAATAGTAATAGCTGCAAGACTTGGCACTCAAGAGCTTAGTGCTAGGATAATGTGACTTGGATGATGCCCCAGTACCATCATCACAATAAACTGCCACACTGAATAGCAATATGACTAAGATGCACACACACACACACACATACATACACACACACACACACACACATCTTCCTCCAAATTGAATGTTCCTGAACAATACAGTTGCACAGAACCAGAATACAGTGGGAGATTTTCAGTGATTGATGTGAGGGATTGGAGATACCCTCATCTCCATAGGAATACCTTCCCAGCATGGAGGTTCATGTTCATGTACTCTTCAGATACAGGCTTTACTTACAAAGGATGGAGATGAAATCAATAACCTGTGGTTTCATGAAGATGGCATTCATTGGAGTCCACAAAGAACAGCACAATATCTCAAAAATCACTTTTACTATAACATTCACATCTTGAAATTAAACGAGTGATGCTACTTCTGTGGGGAAAATGTCAGGGTCATCTCTCGGATGCATGTCACCATGTGAAAAGGATTCAATGCTGCATGTGTAATGTATTTGAACACCAGTAAAAATGTTTTTACTTCAGTAAATTAATTAAGATGTGGCAGTATAAGAAAAAATTTACATACTCGACTAATGCTACACCTGGGACACATAATAGTTATACCTGTAGTTACAGGAATAGATTTAATCCCTTATTAGATGTATACAATATTGAATTATTAAATTATCCCAATTTTACAAGTTATAATTATGAAATCTGTTTAAAACATCTAGCTATTGCAGAGTAACACATATCTCTCATACTGTGTTGTCTTGTATTATGCAGGTAAATTATGTGATATAGTGTTCATATTATTTCTTGCTCTGAGACTCCTCAAGTATTAACATTTTCTGGCACATATGTTAATCAATATGAGACTGAACATTCTAATGTATCCAAGTTGATTATGTGTAGTCAAGAAACAACATTATAATGTACCCAAGTCTATTATGTGTAGTTAAGATACAACATTCTAATATATCCAAATCTATTATGTGTAGCTAAGATACAACATTCTAATGTACCCAAGTCTGTTATGTGTAGCTAAGATACAACATTCTAATGTATCCAAATCTATTATGTTTAGCCAAGATACGATATTCTAAAGTATCAAAGTCTGTTATGTGTAGCCAAGATACATTTTAATGGACCCAAGTCTATTATGTGTAGCCAAGATACAATATTCTAATGTATCCAAGTCTGTTATGTGTAGCCAAGATACAACATTTTAATGGACCCAAATCTATTATGTGTAGCCAAGATACAATATTCTAATGTATCCAAGTCTGTTATGTGTAGCCAAGATACAACATTCTAATGTACCCAAGTCTAGTATGTGTATCCAAGATACAACATTCTAATGTACCCAAGTCTATTATGTGTAGCCAAGATACAACATTCTAATGTACCCAAGTCTATTATGTGTAGCCAAGATACAACATTCTAATGTACCCAAGTCTATTATGTGTAGCCAAGATACAACATTCTAATGTATCCAAGTCTATTATGTGTAGCCAAGATACAACATTCTAATGTATCCAAGTCTATTATATATAGCCAAGATACAACATTCTAATGTACCCAAGTCTATTATGTATAGCCAAGATACAACATTCTAATGTATCCAAATTTATTATGTGTAGCCAAGATACAACATTCTAATGTATCCAAGTCTATTATGTGTAGCCAAAATACTTTAATGTA